TTTGTAAACAGTGTTTTCTCTCCAGCAATGAAATTCACCACGAATGAGTGAGGTCTATTCTCTAATGGTGCACTATTGGTTTTCAGATGCCATTATGTATTTGAGCATACAGTTTTTCCATTTGCTCACAGAAACAAGTTAATGTTTTTGCTAAAGCAAACTATAATTCACTGAAGGTGGAGTGGAAACTAGCATAGTCTCTTAGGCTTTTAACAAGTGTCCAGGAGGTGTTTGCAATCAATCAGGCCAAACCTCGGTGTAAACTGATACTCTGGAGTGAAAAATAACTCATTCCATTCCACTCTTTTCTTTCATCTTGTTAAGAGAATAGGGATTACAAGAAAGATGGAAAGCTTATCAGATGCTGGATTTCATTGCTAACTCATTGTTCAGATGGAAACCTCAGAAGAACATGGCATCGTACACCAGCGTTTTGTGAAAAGGATTCCATGCTGTATACAGGCAGAAAAGAAAGCATCACCATATCCATATTTATCTTTTAACAGAGGCAGTCAAGAATTTTGCTTGGCAAGTTTTTATTTTTTTAAAAAAATTCACACTGTTCATCAGAAATAAAATGGAAAGAGCTTGAGATATTGCAAGTGTATGGACAAGGGAACAAAACTGATACAGGGACAAGCAACTTTTTACCCTCCAAATTTTGGGGGGATTTCAAACCCCATTAACCCTGGTCACCACATTAAATAAAAAAGTAACCCTTAAATTAACCCTGGTCACCACATTTTTAAAAAAATAATCCTTAAATTAACCCTGGTCACCATTTTACAAAAAATATGCTGAGACCCTAGAAAGAATGCAGAGAAGAGTAACTAAGATGATAAGGGATCTGCAGGATAAACCAAACGAGGAATGGTTAAGGGAACCACGTATGTCTAGCCTAATAAGAGAAGAATTAAGAGAGACATGATAGCTGTCTTCCATTACATGAGGGGCTGCCACAGAAAGGTAGGGGTCGACTTATTTTCCAAAGCTCCTGACAAGAAGCACCATGTGGGAGCTCATTAAAGAGAGATCAAACATGGAACTAAGGAGAAACTTCTTGACAGTGAGAACAATTAACCAATGGAACAGCTTCCTTCCCAAAGTTGCAGGTGCACCATTGCTGGAAGTTTTCAAGAAAGGATGGGACAACCATTTGTCTGGGATGATGTAACATCTCCTGCCATGGGCAGAGAGATTGGACTAGAAGACTTCCAAGGTCCCTTCCAGCCATATGAGCCTATGATTCTAACCCCATCTAGCATAGCTAATGGCAAGAAGTTATGTTTGTGGGACCTAACAGATTATGTACTTCTGCAATGTATGGAGGCAGATGGCTTGGGGCACTTCTCTTAAGAATCTGACTTCCTTTGAATCTTTGTGTATCAAGTCAAGTTTATAGCGCCAAATTTGAATTGCTGATTTTTTTCTTCTTCCCATTTTCAGTAGTTGCATTGCAGGCAGGTAACCCAAGGTGTCTTCTGCTGAAAAGAGCTATAGTCACTTAATTTGATGGGTAAAAATACAGATTTTTGTCTTGTTTTACTTTGTGAAAAGGAACTGTTATCAGTTATAGAGGATTCTACAGCTAAATTCACTGCAGATCATTTTGCCTGGTCTCAGAAAACCTATGGAGAATCAGGTCTGGATCAAACCTCAGTGTGGAACCACTAGAAAATTCCTGGGGAAATTGGAAAATATCCCAGAAATAAGAAACACCAAATCCTTTCATCCTGTCACAAAGAAAACCATGTAGTTACCAGGAGTTCAGCTGGATTTAGAAAGGTTGAAATTGCATAGCTTTAAAGTTGGAGCTACTGGTAACATGTTTATGCCTTTCTTATCCTGCAATAAATTTAGGGCATCAGTTTGAACCCTAATATGGAGATTGCATTGCACTCATGTCAAAAGCACTGAGGGGCTTCCGGATGGAAAGGATTAACCAGTGACATCACCATTACCCAGTGATGGGGGCTCCTTTCATGTCTCCAGCAGGAGCTAGAGAAAACCCCACCCCATTGCGTCACTCAAGTCTTGAACGCAAGCTTGTAACCTCCAACCCAGCATCCTAACCATGCAAGCCACTGTGCTCCCAATATGGAGAGAGAAGAGGGTCTAATTCTTTGTTTCCTGAAAGGGGCTAAATCAGAACAATTTAGAATGTTTAAAAAAAGATATATTGCGAAAAGCTTTGGGTGTCAGATGGGTGCAAAATGAGTCAATATTTGGGAGTGATTGCCAACTAACAACCTTTAGCGGAGGACACAATCTTTCTAAATCCTCATCCCCCATTATATACACAAGCAAAAACAAGATTCCTACTGAAGTATATTAAATAAAGTTAATGTAAATGTTCTAGCCTGATTCCATATCACTACTTTCACAACTAGTCTTCCTTGAAGTCATTTTAATATGAGGCTGTTAATATTACTATTCCATCACAAACATCCACCATACATCATCAGTTCTTATGCACATACATGCCCCAGTCACTCTTACTATGAATAAAGGATTCCAACCAGAATGACTAATGGGCTCTCTGGAACAAATGAGTATTCAGGTTCTTGTTTCATGAGTCTTGATTTTTAGAATTACTAAGAGGGACCTGAGACACTCATACTGATTATGCCGTTGCTGCATCATGAGGAGTGAAATATGAAGTCTGGCTCTATATTCTGTTCAGATTGCATCCTCAGAGTGCAAATCCATCTGGATTGCTGTGGGGTCATGAATCATTTATAAGGCATGAGAACAATGGGAAAGGTGAATCTGATTTGCTCTGTGATATTCCAAGGCTAGCATTGCTCTGTATATTAAAACAGTGTTCAGCCCTCCTCTTTAAGGTGATTTGTAATCAAAATCGTAGGCAGGTGACTCTTGCTAGAGAGAGCAGAATTGCTTGGACAAATATGGCAAATGCCCAGGAAGGACAGGATTTGAACAGGGTGCAATGAAGAGCAGTAAGAAGATGCTGCCTTCTTAATCTGTAGATGAATATAGATGGAGGTGGAATGAAATAATGCAGCAGACCTCCTTGGTCCTTAGCCTACAGAATTTGCTGTTTGGAACTGGCTGTCTTTAGACAAACAGAAACTGAAATAGTTAAACACTTTCTTCCTCAATGCTACAAGAAACAAACTTTAATAAAGGAAACTTTTGGTCAATTTTTTCCTATCCCACCTTTCAAAGATGGACTGCTTAAGTCAACAGAAAATATACCAGCATGCAGTTTTCTCCTTCCATTGCCACTCCTCATTCCTGCCTCTAAGTCATTACCAAATGTGCCATCTGAATTATGCCTATATAGTGTGATAGGCAAAGAAACTGGTTGAATCCTCCACCCTGTTGTCCTCTTCTAAACATAAATAACCAATGGAGGAAAAGCTGCTAATCAAAACACTATTACAGGAATGGGGTGAATTAGGCTGTCCATCATCTTTAAGCCCCTTCCTTTAAGCCCCTTGTTTTTTCCCCACATGTCATGCTACCATAAACCAAGCAGTAAGATGGTTTCTGGATGAATAGACAAGTGCCATCCTGAAATGAGTTTTTATAGTTTTCCATAGAATTTTTATTGAGTTTTATTCCAAAGGTTTGGGGCTTCATTATTTTTACAGTTTTGAGTACCGTCAGCATTGTTATTCTAGACAGTTGTATAACTATTTTAAAATAACTAAATAAATAAAGTGGGGGGGAAACACCAGGGTGATAAGAGGCATTGAGTCCCAAACAGCACACTTATTTAGAATTTATCTCATTTATTTATATAAGAAACAAATACCAACTTTCAGATTCTCTGTTTTGTTCAAATGTCAGTGGGAATTGATCCTGTCATTCCATTAATTTACTAATTCAGTCTTGCACTAAGCTAACAAGAACCACAAAATGGAAGCATTTGTAGCACTGCTAACTAAGAGGTTTGTACTATTATGCAATTCAAATAGACCATTTAAAATTTACCAAGCACAGCTACTTCTATTACTCTGGACAAGACGTTTCATATTGTACTGCTTGTGATAGAGAGCTATTTGCATTTAACTAGACAGGGGCAGCAAGAATACTTTATTTTAAATGGTCAAGTGTGATTAGACACACAAAGAATTTGTCTCCGGTATAGAAGCTCTCAGTGTACATGGAAAACAATACAGTAATAATAATCATAATAATGATACGAATAGGACGAGGGGTAATAGTATTAGAGTCATACTTCTTGCATAAATATGCTTAGGCATAAGGCAGTACTGTGGGAATTAGGTTTTCAGCAGAGTGATGGCATGAGGGAAAATATGTCTCTGCATCCAGGAACCCAGTGTGAATTAATATGCTAGACCTCTAGCATTGTTGTGCAAAACCATATAACACTGGTACAGGGTTGCAGTGTTCAAGTTTTTAGAGAAACATCAGCAGAAAGGCAATAGATTAGACTGACAAAAAACCATGCAGAGGCTGGATGCTCACATCAGCCTTAAATGGGCAGTAAGGGGCTCCGTAATGCCACTACTTGTCACCTGAAATTGCCTGACTTCCAATGTAATGGATTTGTGACTGTCATAGGATGCCATCAGCATTACAAGAAAACAAAACTTCCACAACAGTACAGCTAGAGGACAACTTAAACCTCTATTGCTATTGGGCTTGGGATGAGATGAAAGCAATGGCCTGGGGAAACTGCAGAAAAAACTATGCTGCTGGCACATATTTGTGCCATAAACAGATGTGGGACACAGCCTTAGGGAGCCATGAATATAGGCAAAACCACTTCTGTTGCATAGAAGTATATGATCCACTATTATACACTCCTTTGCAGGAGTCTGAGTGAGGTTGTTTTAAATTGTTTCAGGATTTATACTGTTTAAAAACTATACCAATGTTATGAAACTCTGCACCTTGTTTCAAATTCACTTAGTGTTCTGCACGTTTTTGATGGCTGATCTTTCCATTGATGGACCTTATCATAGGTTGTTAGTGCCTTCCTGATCCTCGTTATCTTGCTTACTCAGGTGTCAAGATGTCATTGAAAGTACAGACAAGTAACATCACAAACAAGAATGATCCCAAGTCCATCAACTCCAGGGTCTTCATTGGGAACCTCAACACAGCAGTGGTCAAGAAGTCAGATGTAGAAACCATCTTCTCTAAATATGGCAGAGTGGTGGGCTGCTCTGTGCACAAAGGCTATGCATTTGTACAATATTCAAATGAAAGGCATGCACGGGCTGCTGTCCTAGGGGAGAATGGGAGAGTACTCGCCGGTCAGACTCTAGGTAAGGTCTCCTTGCATCTCTCTCTATCTTCCCCTGTATTTTCTAAGAAAACTGAAGATTGCTGTAGAATTGTAAAAAAGCACTTTTCATATCAGACTAAAATAAATATTCCCTAGTCATTCTGCAGTGAAATTTGTCTTCTACAGTAGAAGAATTTTTAAATATTTGAAGTAAAGTAGGAATTCATGCAAACATTGCTGTCCTAATAATATTTCAAGAGGAATGGCTTTTCAACCTTGGATTAAAGTCAAGGACCTCAGCAAACACAAAATGATAAGCTTGAAAACACTTCAGAGTCTCAAAACAATATAGAAGTGTAGTATTGGCTCTAGAAGACAAATATTAAGAAATCTTAAGATTCTTCAAAAGTCACTAACAATTTCTAAATGGGCACAGTGGATATAGTTGTTCAGCTGCTTGGAAGTTATAATTTTTAATTGCTTCCTGGTAATGTACATGCTTTACCAGGGATTGCTTCCTGGTAAAATGCATGCTTTGTAATGCAGGATGTTCCAGGTTCAAAAGACATTTCTAGGGCCATTTAAATCAAAGAAGACCTCTCTGGTAAACAGTAACAGAGTTGGAAGGGACCTTGGAGGTCATATAGTCCAACCCCCTGCTCACCCAGGAGACCTGTACTAGGGATTAAAACCGCCGAACTGCCAACCTTTCTGATCGACAAGCTCAGTGTCTTAGCCACTGAGCCATCTAGTCATTGTACTTATAATCAAAGACATCTGCAACTAGCCACAATGATGCCAAAATGGCAAAAGTGACTTGTAATGTATCAGTGCAGGTTCTGCCCTTTAAATATTTGTGAAGGGACATTGCATGCAAGTACATCATAAGGAAGAGAGTTTACATCACAACAGGCATTTCAGCCTCCCTCTCTATCTCTTCTGTGGATGTCTTCTCATTCAGTTTGAATGAAGCAGACAATCTCCAGCCTTGAGCCTCGTGCAACCCAATGCCCTCTTTTCTAAGGCACCTGCTACCTCTCTAACTGGACTGCTGAATTTTAGAAATACCGTGGTTTTGTGTGGGAAACAATTATAAAATAAATGGTTTTCTAATTCCTAGAATAGATGGTCAATTTGATGTAGTGATTAAGGCATCAGGCTAGAAACTGGGAGACCATGAATTATGGTCTCACCTTAGGCACAAAGCCAGCTGGGTAACCTTGGGATAGTAGTCACTCTCACTCAGTTCTGGGATGGAGGCAGTGGCCAAACATTTCCAGAAAGCTTTGCCAAGAAAACAGCAGGGACTTGACAGTTGCCAAAGTAAAAACTTACTTGAAGCCTCTCCCCACAAAAATCCTTGGAATAAGAATTATAGCTATCATATCTGGGCTGTAAATATCCAGGAGTATGACAAACATAACAAAATGAGTGTATCTCATTGCTACCAGCTAATAGCCAGGCAGCCCTTTGCAGTCTTGAAGTAGTTGCTCTTGACATAGCACATTTTGCCTCACCCCACTCCCAAAAAGACCCTAACATTCCCCTTGCCTCAGAGATGGAGGAAATTCCTCACAAGTCATGTGGTCCATTTACTGTACTTCTAAGCATCTTTCTACTTATTCCTTCTCACTGGTCCACCTACTTTCTTTATATGCTGGTTTTAGGAAGTTCTTCAAATTGGTTCACTTTGTTGACAAATACAACAGTTCGACAATAAAATAAAATAAAAGTTTATTCAACCAAATAAGCAATAACATACTGAATTTAAAAGAGTATAATCTGGGAAAAGGCATTTTTTTCAAGTTTCCTTCCTCAAGTTTCTGTATTAAATTAAGATGTGACACCTTTTCAAGCATATCATTTAAAGTTTGTCTGAAGATTTCCACAACCCCCAGAAAGTTTTGCTTAAATGTTTTAGAAAGGTACCATCCAAACAACTCAAAATGGGCAAAAATCATAAATATTTATTGTAAGGGGGTATTTAACTGTTGTCCAATGGATTTCTGGATTATCGCTACAAGAAACCCCCAAAGCTGCTATTTTCAAGACAAATAATAACGATGAAATTTATTTATTTATTTACTTTATTCAGTTTCTATAGCATCTATGTCAATGACTCTGTGTGACTTGCAGTTCAAAAAAATATTACAATTAAGACACTAAACATTTTTAAACAATTAAAAAAACAATAAAAACATCCAAAATAAGCATACCTATAGCAGCTAAGATACTTGGTCAATTAGCAATACAGCCAGGAAATGGGGCCCCCATTTCGGCACCCCAGACTCAGGAACATAGCCAGATTTTTAGGCCCTTACCAAAGGCAAACACGGCTGGGGCCATTCTAATCTTCAAAGGGAGGATGCTCTATTGAGGGGCCACTGTAGAAAAAAATGATGTTCCACTCCATTGAGGGGCCACTGCAGAAAAAAAAACTTGTCTTCTGGTCCCCATCAGCTGACATCCCTTGGATGACAGGATCTGTATCATGCCCATTCTATTTGATCTAGCTGGATGACTAAAGACCCTGGAACAAAGGCGGTCCCTCAGGTAACCTGGTCCAAAACCAAATAGGGTTTTAAAGGTTATAACCTTTAAATTGCACCCAGATATATACTGAAAACTAACACAGCTCAGGCAGAAGTGGTGTTACATGTGCCATATATCTGGCTCCATGTACTACCCGCGCAGCTGCATTTTGCCCCACTTGAAATTTCTGAATGCTCCTCAAAGACAGTCCCATGTACAGCATGTTACTGTAGTCTATACCAAAGGTTACAAGGACAGAGTTACTGTAAGCAGGGCCTCCCAGTCCAGTCATGGGTACAACTGGCGCACCACTCAAAAGTGTACATAGGCCCTCCTAGCCACAGCTACCACCTCTTTTCCATGGCGATGCTGCGCAATTCCTCATTGGGATCTCCCTCATATCTTGTTAGGGACTGAGAGTGTGCTGTGCCTTTAAATCTTCTGCTGGCCACTCCTCCCTGGCTCCTCAGCACGGCAGTTTATTTCTCTCAGTCTTAGAGTAGGGACGTGAGTATAGTTTCTCTCACTTCTGTGAGACTTTTTTGCCTTTATACTTAGTTAATCTCTTTCTTTTTGTAAATAGTGTATATAGTTAATATTTTTAGGTAGGTTTTTGTTATTTAGAGTGGGAGCGTTTTTTCTCTGAGGAGGCTGCTGCGGTGGCAGCAAGCCTCCGGCTGCTTCTGTGGGCTTCGCTTTATAATTAGCTTGAAGCCCCGGCCTTTCTTCAGCAGCGAGCAGAGCCTCCCTTGTTAGGAGCTCTGAACGGCTTTCGAGCTGTTTTTCTTGGCCGCCGGCGTGCGCTTGGGGCTGCTGGTCCGCTGGTCGCCCCGGCGCCGCCATTTTGCTCCCCAATAGTTGGCGGTTGCAGAGTACCTGCTTGGGGGGCCCCGAGTACAAACTCTGCCTTATCCTTAGCCTCGCGGCGCTCAAGGGGCGGCTGCCTCTCGCGCCTTGCCGATCAGAAGGATTTTGCTGACTGCTTGAACTGGATCGGCTGCCATTAGAGCGAATTGCCTTTAAGCCAATTTTTTGCTCCTGTGGATTCCAGCTGTTGATTCCTTGGCGAGGCTGCGCTTTCAGGGGCAATTGTTTCCTGGCGCTCTTGAAATACCTCACCCTGAGATCTACATTGGAGTGAGTATTTTCCTGTCAGGGAAGATTCGCGCCAATTAGTTTGGCGCCATTGAGGTCACGGCGGCCATTTTGAGGGTGAATTCTGGTGCCTGTTCTTAGGCCACAATTTCCCCTTTCTCCTTAGGATCTTCCTTGGAGACTCCTGGGTTGATTGCCTGTATTTAACCACCATGGGCGACCAAGAATTTTCGTCTGACCCTGAACAGATTCCTGTTCCTCCCAGGCCAAAGAAGGCCTCAAAAAGAAGGCCTGCTACCCAGGCTTCAGCCTCTTCAGCTAATCAGCATTTAACTATTTCGGACAGGGAGGAACAGCGGAGACACAATGCCCTGGAGAAACAATTTTCCAGGGCTCAAAAACAAGCCCAACTCGCAGGGGAGGTGGTTCTGGAGTCTTCCTCTCCTCAACTGGATCCATTGGGCTCAGAGACGACCCATCTGGCATCACAAGATATGCCTTCTGATTTACCTCAGGCACCCATGTTACCTGATAAGCCGGGACCTTCAGCGTCATTTACCCCCACGGCGGCTGGTCTGAGGCCTCAGGAGGCTTTAGGTTGGGCTCCTCAATTAGACTTCCAGGCCCTATTTACAGATGCACTGGCTAAGGCAATCACCTCAGGCCTTCAGCAAGGGGGACAGTCCCAGTTTGGGTGTCATACTTGTCAGAGGCCAGCCTCTTCCATGCCTGCTTGTGGGCATCCTCCTGCTATGCATCCTCCTCCTCTCCCTCCACCCCCCCTCCACCCCCTCCCCTGCCTGCCCAGGCAACCCAGCCTTCCTTAGAGGCTCCAAGTGAGGTATCATACTCAGTTGAGGGAGAACAGATTGAGCCAGAGTTCTCAGATGATGAGGAAGTGACCCCTGAAAGGCCGGCCTTTGCCACCTTGTTCAGACCTGCTGTCTTTAAGACTTTGCTCAGAAAGGCTAAGGCAGCTACAAACATGGGTACCATCGTCAATCCTAACCTTCAGGGGTCTTCTGGTACGCACCCGCATGGCGAGCTTTTCGCTGTACCCGTTCCTGATCATGACTATATCCCGTGTCCTGATTTGTTTAAAGAGGTTATTAAAAGACAGTGGGATTCGCCCGGGGTTCTGTCTGCTCCCAGCGGCCACGATAAAAAGCTGTATTGTGCTGACCCGGCTCTGGAGGCCCTTCTCAACCTTCCATCAGTAGATCCTCCTGTTGTGAGTCTATCTTCCTCGGCTGTCTTATCATCTGACGCTGTGGAGGTGTTGAAAGCTGATGAACGTAAGACGGAGGTTTCCTTCCGTAAAACGCACCAAGCTGCGGCCTGGGCGGTGAAAGCTGCAACATCCGCCTCATTCTTTAACAGAGCCACCTTAATATGGCTTCGGCAGTTGCAGGA